CTGTCTCTCTCTCTTTTTTTTTTTTTTTGGAACAGAGTCTCTGTCACCCAAGCTGGAGTATAGTGGCCTGATCTCGGCTCACTGCAAACTCTGCCTCCTGGGTTCAAGCAATTCTCCTGCCTCAGCCTCCTGAGTAGCTGGGGATTACAGGTGTCCGCCACTATGCCCAACTAATTTTTGTATTTTTAGTAGAGACCGGTTTCACCATATTGACCAGGCTGGCCTCGAACTCCTGACCTTATGCTGCTGCCCGAAATGCTGGGATTACAAGCGTGAGCCACCGCACCTGGCCCCCTCTCTTATTCTCTTATTATTACTACACTGCTTACAGTTCTTCACATAGACCAGGCTGTTTCTTGCCTCTATGCCTTTGCCCAGGAAGTAGTTCTCTCTGCCTGAAATGCTTTCCTCACATTTCTTCACTTGGCTAACTTCTCCTTGTCCTTTGAGGTTCAGCTCAGCTTCCTCCAGGAAGCTTTCTTTGAATTCCCTAGACTCAATTTGATGTCGTCATCTAAACTTCCATAATATGCTTTGTGTTATTCTTTCTTAACAAGTGTACCGTGTTGCACTTACTATCTACTAGTATTATTGTTAAATTTATTGTATCTCTTTCTTTGACTAGATTACAAGCTCTTAGAAGATAAAGACTGAGTCATTAGTTCTTCTCTATTTTATGGCACATGAAATATAGTTACCAAGAGATTTTTATAACTGAAATTTCTAACCAGATTTAAATTTCCCAAGGATTAGGTTTGTTTTATAATTTTACTAAGTATACCCTCCTCGGTCATTTACATGTTTCTTGTTTTGCATGACTATACCTTTCACACCTGTTCCTCATATATTACACATCTTACTTAATGTTACCTGCTGGAATACCCTTTCTTCTGTAGTTGTTGAGCTCCTTTTGCCCACCAAAACTGAATATGCTGTAAGAAAGCTTATTGGATGGTGCCAAAAGGAATTAATCACTCCTTCTTCTGTGGTATCTCTGCATTTTTACATGCTTCTACTGTTGCATTTAGAACACAGTATTATAATTAGCTCTTTATGTGCTTGGTCCACAGTATAAATATAGTAGCATAGTAAAAGTTTTGATAGAGGTGTAATGAGAGCATCACAGAGGTCCTAATCCATTTGGAGAATGTCACTGTTGGGAAAATCAAAGCAGGGTGGAGGTTGCCTAGTTCAGCATCTTCATGTTTTGATGGGGAAACTGAGGCCCTGAATGTCTGAGTCAGTTTCCTCCTCTGTAAAATATCTAGTTATCTGTGATCTGTGAGTCAGAAACTATTAATTTATACATAATGAGAATCAAGTTTTATATAATCCCACTCTTGTGACTCTCTACTTTCTGAAGGACAAAGCATTTTGATAGAGTCTCAGTGAATTGCAAAGGAAAAATAACTCCCAAAGTTATTTAAGTGCCTCTGGGAGACAAATTCAAAGAAACTTGGTTATTGAAAATACAGTAATTTATTTGCCTCCCATAGGTGGTGTTTTTATTAAATAGAAAGAGGGCAGGCAGTTCAGCTCAGTACAATTCAAAAATTGTGTATTGTCTGTGTTCTAAAGTGTGTGTGCTGGTATGAATGGGATGAGGCTCATTGACTGATCCCCAATGACTCAGAAGCTCAGAAATCCTCTGTCATAAACCTAAGGTGGGATTCTACTGGGGATTTTCACAAGTGTAAAAACAATCACCAAGTTTATGCCCTATTAATGGCAAGCAACTGAGCTTCATCTTCCCTAGGAACATATTCAAATGAGAAAATTCTTGGTCAAGAATCAACAAAAAAGTAAATAAACTCTGCTGGGGGCTCAATAATACTTGAAATTAATGAAGTTTCCAAGGTAAAGCTGACAAGAAACATTTGTGTTTGTTCCATTCCAGGATGCTATGCCCAGAGAAATCATTGGTGCATTGGAATAGTCCTTGGATTTGGAGCCAGAAGTGTAGTTCAAGAACCAGCTCTACCATTCATTGGTCTGGTGACTTTAGGAAGTTCAACTCCCAGAGTCTTGGTTTCTCCATTTGTAAAGTGGGCATACTGGTTCCTTCTCATAGAGTTCTTGTGAAGATCAAAATAAGTCAGGGATGTGAAAGTTTAATAAACTTCAAGCTTAATATGGTAATCACAATAAACAGTGTATCTAGGAGATGAGAAGGAAGGAGAGTAACATTTAAATTCAAGTGCTGTGTCTGATTTCTGTGTCAGTGAGAAAGATAGTTTTGTTTTCCAATTCTTTGTGAAATGAAAACATCTATATTAATGTATATGTGAACACAAACTTTAGAGGACTATATAAGAATGATTTAGGATTAAACATGGTTATATATAACAATGTAGAAGCAGCAAATAAGAACTTTTAAAAAATAAATTTTAAGTAAAATATAGGGAAATAACCACCTATATGTTAAGTTATTATTCCAAGAACACCTTTTCATGTACATGCTCTAGTGGAACTGAAGGATCATATGGACCTTGATGTCTGAGACTATATTGCAGTTTAACTGAAACTCTCTTGTTAACATGGAAGTGCACATCAGAAATCCAAGGAAAACTATATTTTAGTAGTAGGTTTTTAAATTTTTTGCATAAAATTCTATCAGTAGAATATACTCTTTAAACATAATAAGCGTCAAAAATTTGATTCTATTCCAAGTTAGAAGTGGTAATATAAAGTTAAAAACTAACACTAGCTACAATCTGTTTAGTATGAAGAAAAAACTTTAGGCTGGTTTTTAAAGATTAATTTGTTAATTAGGTGAACATCTGGGTTATGGTTCATCACTTCCCTTGGAAACCTTGATTAATTTATGAAACTTTCATCTTCATTTACTAAAAGAGCAGTGAGTCATCCGGTGTTACACGCCAATGACAGCAAAAGTTAATTGGATTCTAGATCCTTTCACATTTCTGCTTACAGCAATTCCTTGCTGCTTTGAGTGGAACCATGCGCTAAGGGAGTCTGTGTATTTTTGTGTGTGTGTGAGAGAGAGAGAAATGAGAGGAATTACAAGTAATTGAAAAGTGAGCTTGAAAAAATAAGAATATATATTTATATTTTCTTCAGTTTGGGGTGAGAAACTCTGGAGGTATACACAAAATAGCCAAACCAAAACCCAAAACTATGAAACACAGTTACTTAAGTGCATGGGTTTTTTAAAAAATAGAGCTTTGATTTGTGAATCATGTGAACGTATTATTATCTTTCCAGGACACAGCTGTTGACGGTTGTTTGTGGATTAAAGTGTTTCAGGGTTGGGTTTAGGAAGGGGAAGACAGTAATGTAGCTTCAGTTCATTGCAGTTAGTGTCTGCCCTCCAAATAAGAGATGTATCAGCAAAGAGAACACCCCCAAAGAAGGAGGGGGCACAAGACTGAGAAAGGAGGGGAGAGATGAATGGAGCTGTGGTGGATGGCTGACTTACTTTCTTCTGGCCCTGCTACTTACAAATTGCGTTCAGCTTAGAAACCCTTCCTTAGATATATACCTGTATATGGCACATGATCTTGGCGGTGTGAAACAATACCCACTGATGAAGGCGACTTCATCACACTGGTTCTTAATCTCTTTCTGCTTTTGCTTTGCCTCTCATTGTTCCTTCATCCTGTTTTCCTTTTCAACTTTATTTTTTGGGTATATTTTGTCTTGTGATTTTATGCATTTATATGAGGTACCATGAATCTTTTCTGGAATTGGAAGGGGTATGAATAAATACATACATAATTAATCTGGGGAAATGCTAACAGGTTATTTCGGAGGGGTAGGATTACAACTGATTTTAATTGTTTTATGGTGAGTCTTATGCATTTTCAAGTACACATATATTTTTACAAGGGGCATGAATTTCTTTTCTAATCAGATACAGTAGGTTTTTTTTTTGTTTCTGTTTTTGTTTTTTTACTAAATCTAGAAGAAAAGACTTTTGGTAGAACAGATGAACTTTTCCAACAGGAAAATATATAAGGGTAGTAAAGAGAGAAGACCAGAAAGGAGTCATGGGACTGAAGTCTTAATTTTCTTTTCACCATGTGCTTCTGTGAAAATACAGGAGGGGCAATGTACCTACAGTGGCTTGCTTGAAACTTTTAAAAAAGAAATTCTATTTTTAAGATTCCTTTTCTTCTATTTAAAATAGTAGACCACGAGAGAGCAAGATCTTTATTTTAATAATTCCCTATAATCTAGATTTTATTGCACATTGGGAAATAAGGATGAAAAAACCAAAGTCTACAATCTGATTTTTATGTGATATTTTTACTCTATGTGACAAATAATTAAGCACAAAAAGCAAAAGCAGAATAATTTATTTGAGTCCATCTTTCCTTGAACAAAAATAAAAATAAGACTTCAATAGTCATTTCCTTAAGCGTTTACAAGTCTTCTCCAAAATACCACTGGTGATTGGAAAAAAAAGAGAAGGCATAGTTATGTTTTTGTGACAACCATCCTTATTATTCTGTAGCACATATAACAAGATAGAAATTTGGACATAAAATTCAACCATAAATTTAGCATTCTTAACATTAATGAAAATGTAACAAAACAAAGTCTGTTGAAAAATTTACCAATGTAAAATTTCCACATTTGTAGGAGAGGCAGGTTAGTCTCCGTGTTGATGATAGTGAAAGTATAAAGTAAACTAACTGAGCTTTGTAGAGATATTTCATATAAAAGGAATGAGGAAACCCCAGTCACTGTCTTAATTTCATCAGCATGAGAAAGACTGTCCGCTGAGGAATATTTTCCCAACATGTTTTTCTGCTATACAAGACATTGTGAATATGCTGAAAAACCTGCAGTTCAATTTGCATAAGTGTCTCTGTTCTGCATGTAAGGAAATAATGAGTAAGAGGTATTGGTCTTGGTTTCTTCACTGATTCTGGATGAATACTTTCCCACTGCTTTTCCTGAAAATGTTTCTTTAGAATTTCCCTCCAATGTACTGGTTAGCCCATGAAAGTTCACCTAGTAAAGAGATAACAAACTATGTAAACAGTTCTATAGATTTTTCAGGTCTACAGGTAAACAAACCTTAACTTATTTTATTCCTTTCCAAGGCTACAAATTAGATGAATGTCTTGAGCTAGCTCAAGAAAATTACATTTATCAACAAATAAATGTGAGAGTAAGCAATTATTAAATTTTATAGATAATTTCCTTTTGAAACTAAAGGTTTACTTAATTTGAATGTCCTGTTTTCAATATACTAACGTAAGTCTTGTGTTCAATATAAACCCTACCAAGAGCATTTAATAAGGTCAATAGACAACATTGAAATACACCCAGCCTTAAGTTCAATAAATAAATAATTGGTCTGAGTGCTAGAATATGAACACAGACCAATTTACCAATTGGTTAAACAGCAGTCCAGTTAGGTAACAGACATATGTAGTAAAGAAAATAACACTGTTAGAACAGTCTAAGGGCCAAAGAATAAAATTGTTTGGCTGTCTTTCTTACTCAGAAGTAACTGCCAAATAAAAGAAAGCAGTGAAATTAGAATTCTTTCCACAGAGCTGGCACATTCATGTTGGGAAATAGAGATGGGAGAGATTCACTGACCACCTATAATAATGCATTATTCATGAAGTTGATCTTTGAATTTAATTGGACCTAGAGGAGAATAAAACCATAGGTAATCAGGAAAGAAAAATGTTCTCTGCATCTATAGGTGGCATTTATTCTACTGAGAAATATTTATTTTACTCAGAGTCACTAATCTTTAGTTAAAAAAAGTAAACAGCAGCCCACTGAACTATGAAATCTTGAAAAGATCGAGTCTTATTTAATCTCTTGCCCTACCACATATTAAATGTCCTAGAAATGCTTGTGAATTAATTATAAGTAAAATCAGTACAAAATAGTTTCTGATAAAGAAAAAGGAAGCATTGCACTTATTTATTTAAATAATTTAGAATAGGTAACATAAATCTGAATTCAAATAAAATAATAATTTTAAAAATATTGACTCCCCATTTAGATAAAGGTGGAAGACAGACAGAGGAGGAAAATTTTAGGAAGAATATTATGGATAAGGGAGGCAATTATAGAGAAAGAGAAGAAAAGAGGACGTTAGACTCGATAAAGGAGGGATTCAAAGAATGAAGGTAAAGGAAGAGAGAGCCATTGGAAGACAAGGACCTACATAGAGAAACTAACAAACACAAAAAAAGACTGAGAAAATGGGAAAGAAGAAGGTGAGAAGAGAGAGGCTGTGGGAGTTGGAGATGTTACTCAGATTGTGCTGGTAGCATGAGCCAGGGTCTTGAGGGTGACTGCCTTTTGGAGGAGCATGTGCTAACAGCAGTAGTTTTGAATACTTTTTTCATATGCTTGATAAAGAGCATTTCTGCTTTGTTTTCAATTCTGAAATCTTATTTATGAAATGAACTTTTATATCCTTAAGAAAGTCAAAAGATTTTGCTAGTGCTAAAAGTCATCTAGTTTCAAAGGGTGTTTTTTTGAAAATCAATTTTTTGACATGAAAAACAACCCAATCACTTTATTTTGTGTTCTGAAATTGTAGCTGTCATATTCACAATTTTGACTTAAAACTTATTTCATTCTTGAGAAACTTAAAAGAGAAACTCCAAGTTGTCATTTGGTCTGTTTGCATTCTAATGTGAAAAATTGATAGTTAGAAGAAAGGATATATAGAGAAATGAATTTAAATAGGATACAAATTTTAATTAGATTAAATCTTAGAAAGCAGACTTAATCTCAAAATTCTTTCAATGCCTTATATTTAACAACAAACAAATTTCCCCTAGCTTTCTATTATAGACAGTAAAGAGAATTAGGTATCATTTTAGAGTGCTTTTATTCTTAAAATATTATGTAATAATATCCTATTCTTGTGTTCTACTAGACTGATAATACAATGCTTTACTTTTTTTTTTTTCCAAACTGTAAGTTCCTACCTCCAACAGAGTCTGTTCCTAATTTATGTGACTCTAGGTAGATTTTATCTGATGAGGTTCTTTGAAGTATCTTGCCACTTATTGAGTCCTTACATCCTCCCCCCTCCAGGACTAGGTTTCTTCCCCGTAAGATGATTTCCCATGCATTTGTACTCCTTGCTGTTATTTTTGATATTTACCCAGAAGTGTGCATGAATTACTTTGCTGGAACTGTTTCTTTTGCCAGAGGGGAAGTTTCTGTAAGTGGTTATTGATGTTCTTTTCAAAGTCAATAAATGACAAAGAAATGATGGAAGATGATCTGTGGCAGTTATGCCTTCAGGCAGCTACAGCCCGAATAAAAAAGAGAAGTTCATTTTATTATTTCAAAAGATTGTAGGCTTAGTTTCTCCATGGCAGGAAGGAGAGGGAGACTTCTTAGTGGCAGCCTTGAGCTTAACTGGATAAATAGGTTCTCAGCTTTGTCCTTAGCACAGGGTTTGTCCTCTCTGGATAAGAGGCCAGTCCTCACTGGGGTTCCACTCACTTGGGAATAGGCTACTTTGAATAAGAGGCTGGACATTGGATACTGACTGTGCTGTGGACCTTCTGCAGGCTTATATTTTACTGGTCCTATTTCTAGTGACAGATCATCATGGCTCTAAAACTACCATAGCTTCTGGAAAATCATTAAGTAATTATTAAGATGGCTACAAAATTGGCCTGAACATTCCTTTCATACCCAGATGTGGATTCCTTGGGGAAATATTGTGAGAAACAAATGTACACAAGAGACAGTTGATTCTAGCATTCTGAATCTAGTCCACTAGCCCAAGTGCATGGCCCTAGAAGATATTTGTATGTTTCCCTGTTTTGTTTCTCAAAATTATTTTCAGGTGGGGAAATATGTTCAAATACACAGAAGCATTATATCTTGTTTTGTATTTTTCTTCTGTGCTTTTCAATCAATTCTGGGGAAAGCAGAGGCTAAATGCTTAGCCTCTCCATAGCACCATTAAATGAAGAGGTATACTTACTCTGGATGGTCTTGCTGCTGGGCAGGGATGTGCTGAATAACTTCATAAATTGTACTGTGCAAATCTTGCCCTGATACACCATCAGAGGCTGGAACAGACCTACTTGGCATCTAGAAAATGTGACACATTAAAAAAAATTAGGTCAAGACTAGTAAATAGTTTTTCCACTATGCTGCATAGTGGAAAACAACTGGCAGTAGTGATGATTAGAGAATTAGAACTATTTTTCTTCCCTAGAAGGTTGACTTCTTCCTTGCTACACTTTTCTGCACTTACCCTATGGCAGTTTGTGCAGCAGCATAGCTATAAGGTCAGAAGAAGGATAGCTTGACAAAGCTATGGCTTTTTTCTTCATTTAAGAAGAAAGCTGGCAGTACTGTAAAGGAAATATCATAGAAAGAAAAAAATAGCAAAAGAAGATATGAGGACATCTTAGAATCAGAGAGCATATATTATCATCTTTTCTATACCTCAATTACCTTTTTGACACTCTTTGCCAATTATGTGCGCAAGGGTGGCTTAAGGGAAAGAACAATATACAGCCCAAATCACACATCATATTGCAAATAAGTAAAGACAGTACCAAGGAATATGGAACACTCAAAGGAAAATGCTTTGGTTTAAATGTAGTAATGGACTGAAAATACTAAATGCTTGGATGAATGTGGAAAGAATAGTGTATTTATGGCTGGTAAAAATCAACAGATATTTTTATTGAAACTGGTATTTGTGTTTTATTAATTCCCATTCCTTATGCTTCAGAACTTCCTTCTTTCTGTAAACACTCCTTCCCAATTATTTAGCCAAAGTCTAGTTTTCCTCCCCATCCCAAATGCTTCCTATTTTAATCCTATTTCTGTCTACTTTCAGTCCTTTATATTTATACAGCTCCATCTCGAGGGCTCTTTGCTCTTGATAACTCTGAAGAGTTCACTGTCTCAGGCTAATTTGACCTGCTTGGAACATCTTAGCTTTTTGTTTTTCTAGAAATCACTAATTTCCATTCCACTTGCTAAAGCTCTCATATGAAGCCTTCCTTAGGAGATGTGATTTGCCCTGTCATTTTTGTGTCAAATAAATTTTGGTTTAGAGCCAATCCTTGAGATCAGCTCTTGATATTTTTTGGTTTGAAGGTATTCAGGGGCTATGGTAAAAGCAATCTATCAATGATCACCAATGTACTCACCTAATCTAATATAGAGCTGTTAAATAATAAACTTGCTCACTTAATGCATTGCTTTCTAACTCCTGAAAGAGGTGGTAAATGTACAATGAAATGTGCAATGGGTAGAGAGAAAAGTAATCCATTTGTGCACATACCACACAATATGCCAAGAGATTATTTCGCTTCTCTTTTTTTGTGACAGGGTCTTGCCGTGTTACTCAGGTTGGTCTTGAACTCCTGGAATCAAGTGATCCTCCCATCTCAGCTTCCTGAACAGCTGGGACTACAGGTGCACACCATGGCACCTAGCTTATTTTGATTTTTGAAAACTCAAAAAGTTAATAATTTAATTTATTTCCCTTCTTAACTTCAGTTTTGAGATCTTGGTTTTATGATCACCTTTCCTTTTCTTTTAAAGGTCATCGCATTTGGTTCTACCTTCCCACATATCTGCCATTCTGGCTTCTCATGCAGGTCCTCCTCCTCTTGTCCCTAATCCTCCTCCTTTGGTTGTTGGTCTTGATTTCTCACTTCTGCCTCAAAGCACCTGCCATGGCCAATTAAGAACCTCAACAGATTTCCTTAGGAGCTTTCAGCTTTGAAGATGGGCGTGGCTCCAAATCAAGTTATTCTGTTTCCAACAGAAATGAGCAGGGCTTCTGTTATATAATTAATACCCCTATTTCTCTGCTTCGAGTTCTTCAGGACTATAGTATTTTTAGCCAGTTGAGGTCCTTCTGGTAAAACTCCAAAACTGAGTAGTGATTAATCACATGGTAAGATTTAAAATTTCTTACATAAACCTCACTCCTTTCCATTGAATTCCTAGGAATAAAAAGTGTGCATTGTTTTAAATAAAGAAACTAAAACTCCTTATTCGGAAGTTCAGTTATAAGACTTAGATCTTCAGTTTCCTCCTCTCCAATTTGAAGCCACACCTTAGAAGTGTGCTTTTTGCCATCGTGAGAAGCTCTTTGAAATAACTGATCCATCAAATATTTGTTGTTGTCTTTTGGTTGTGGAAATGAAGGGTGAGCTAATCCTGCCTGAGATTGAATAGGGTATTGCAAAGCCTTTGCAGGCCAGTTCTCCTCTTCATCTGTGACTGCTACTGACTCACCCTTAGGGAGGATGAAATCCAATCAGTCCCTCTCCATTACTCACATGACATTTCTCAAATAAAGTCTGTGGCCAGGCAACTTACTGGATGAACCTTATACATTGATAGAATCTTCTGAACAAGAGAAGTCACCATTCCCTAATGGCAAATAGTCCTTTTAACAAATGGAATGAGAATGCCTGGAAGCAAGTAATCTGTTTTATGGTGCCCTTCCTTAAATGGACTCATAGCTGAATAAGGAAGCAGAGGAAACTTGGTTCTATACAAATCTATAAAAGGGTTAATAAGCTGATTAGCTCAGAGAAACATTCTGCATGTCTGTTAAACAAAACTGATTGTTTTAAAAGACGGGGTTTTTTTGTTTTCCGGACTGAAATGACTTCAACTGTATGAAAACTCCTTTGACATCTCATGTACCTTCAAGGCAATAATAAAGATATATACCTGCATATTTTGGGTCTATATGGCAACTTCCTTCTGAAGAGCATGAGGTATCTTCAAGGATGTGATCAATTGTCTTTGCAATGTTGTCAAAAGATATGGGGGGCAATAAAGGGGAAACTGAGGAACAGAGAGAGTTCAGTAAAGTGATGGATTACAGTCACCCAAGTGATGCAGAATGACTTAAATCAGGGTCTCCTGATCCTCTGTTTATTCAGTTATCTTTAATTAATTAATTTATTTATTTGAGACAGGGTCTCGCTCTATTGCCCAGGCTGGTGTATGGTAGTGATCACAGCTCACTGTAGCTTTGAACTCCTGGGTTCAGGTGATCCTCCTGCCCCAGTCTCCCAAAAAGCTGGGACCAGAGGCATACACAACCACGCTTGGCTAATTTTTAAATATTTGTTGGGATGTGGTCTCTGCTCAGGCTGATCTCAAACTCCTGGGCTCAAGCAATCCTTCCATCTTAGCCTCTCAAAGCCCTAGGATTACAGATGTGAGCCACCAACACCTAGCCTATTTATTCAGTTCTCCTGACTTCCAACCTAGTTAGTTCTCTCTTCACTGAGATTACCAGGTAAAGACTATTTATGAATTAGCATAACTTCCTTATTTGTGTTAGCTTTACTTATAAAGGCAAAGAAAGATGCTTTAGCTCCCCAGATCTGGCAATGCCATACATTATGGAGTAAGTCAGCACTGCTCAATGCAGTAATGAATAATGTAGCCACTTGACCACACTGCCCAGTGCTTAAACGAATGCTGCTTACACCTCTGGTGAAGCAGAATCAGCCACTAGGAAAACCAACCCTGGAAAGACCAGACGCATCTGGAAAAGCAACAAATTCATATACTCCGAAGTCATCCAGAGCATCTTCATGGCCTGAAATGTAAAACAAATTTAAAAATCAAATGCCTTGATTTGCTGTTGTTGTTTTTAAAAACCTTTGTAAAACTTATCTTTATTGCCTGCTTTAAATGGTATACAGGTACAAAATGAATTTAACATTTCCTAATCCCTGTAGCCATATCGCCCTTGAGCAGTGTTGGAAATCACTCTTTCTGAAGCTGAGAATTGAAATTGAATTGGAACAATCATTCTTAAAGCCAGACATGAGAATAGCCTGTTATATCTTTAAATACACATATGTGGGCAAGCTTGGCCTTTGTAACTCTCAGTTACCAGAGACTCATGGTCACCAGGGCTTCATTCAGCCTAGAGGTCACAGCCACTCTTGATCCACCCATAATATCAACTGCACCCTGTTAGATCTAACAGAGACCACCAGAACTAAAAAGAATAAATAGCTAACTGTAGCTTTCCATACAGAAAAAGTACAATACATTGTAATATCAATCCACATAAACTATCATCTGTAGAATGATGGGGGTGGAGGTGATTAGAAGGAACTAGATGGTCTCTGGGGCCCTTGCCAGCTCTGATGTTCTGTCATTTATAAGTCAGGAAGGGCTAGAAAAGAGGAAGAAGGCCCACATTTATCAAACATTCAGGCTTCATGTCAAGCACTCCACCTATATCATTTTATTTAATTCTCATAGCAACCTTTAGTGGGAAGTTTTTATCTCTATCATAGAGAAGAGGAAGTTGTGGTCAAGAAAAATAATTTTCCTAAGGTGATATAAGGGGAAAGTGGCACATATAAAACTGAAACTTGGCTCCCTGTGACTCTCTGGCCTGAGCAAAAACTCTCTTGTTAACTCAGTACAGTCAATATTGATCATAATGAGGGTCACAATGGGGACAAAGAAGCTACCCTGGCCTCTGCCAGACCTTCCTTTCCTCTTCTCTTTGGGATGGAGCTACCAGCATGAAACCTACCTTAGGAATTAACAAAGTGATACAACTCTTTGGAATTTTCAAAATAATAATAATAATAGGATCAATGGCTTAGCAAAACTAACTTTATTGATCTTACTGACTGTGGGCAAGTGACTTCATCTCCTTGATCATTAGTCCTCTTGCCTGTAAAATGGAGTTAAGAGTGCCTTCCAGGCTGATATTACAGACTTGTGTAACTTACATAAAACCAATGCAAAGGATAACTTTTTTTTTTTTTTTTTTTTTTTTTTGAGACGGAGTTTTCGCTCTTGTTACCCAGGCTGGAGTGCAATGGCGCGATCTCGGCTCACCGCAACCTCCGCCTCCTGGGTTCAGGCAATTCTCCTGCCTCAGCCTCCTGAGTAGCTGGGACTACAGGCACGCACCACCATGCCCAGCTAATTTTTTTGTATTTTTAGTAGACACGGGGTTTCACCATGTTGACCAGGATGGTCTCGATCTCTTGACCTTGTGATCCACCCGCCTCGGCCTACCAAAGTGCTGGGATTACAGGCGTGAGCCACCGCGCCCGGCCAGGATAACATTTTGTAAAGTGAAGGCACGAATCCAAAGGTAACGGACTGCTAATGTTATATTAATTTTAGCTTATATTAATTCTATTACATTAATAATATATAATAATATTAACAATATTAATTAATATGCATTAAAACTGATAATAGCCCTTTCCAGCCTGGCCATTACCTGAAAATGTTTGAGCTTTCCTGTATTCTGTTTCTGGCCTGAAAAGACAAAATAGGTATTTTTGTCAGGGATAATAATTGAGGAAAAAGCATGTAAGGAAAAAAACTGTTTTCATAGAAACAGATGCATTACCTGCCTTCTAGTTTCTGTTTTAAAACTAAAATCAAGAGAGAAGAAAAATGGTAAGGTACTTCTTAGTACACATATATACAGCTTCAAAAAAAATTTTTTTTTGGAAATTTTAACCTACCTTTGTAGGGCTGATATTTTTTCCATAGGAAGGTAAGACACATGGATACAATCAAAAATAGTGATATTCCAGTTATGCTTGCTAAAGGTGACAATGATTTTCCTTTTTGTGCAAGCTTCTCCAGTCCTAAATAAAAAGATAAATATATTTTTAGCAATAAATTACTACGGTATATAACTTGAGTTTTTAAATGCCTTACTGAAAAAAGCATATAAACATGTATTATTAGAGAGAGAGACAGAGAGAGAGAGGGACCAATGGAAGGAATGCACTTACTTTAAAACACACGCTAAACTCCCTAGGGATATCTGTGATTGGAAACGTGGCTCACTGCCCAGGTTAAAACTGATTATGTTATACTAGGTGTAGCAAATATCTCATGTCATACTTCTCAGTTATATTTGCCACCTTAACTTACATGTTTCATCTCATTGTCTCTACATCCCTAAATGCTAAGTTGCTCTCTCATTTTTCTTCCATTTTGCTTTTCTAGCATAATTTAAGTATGTGAATATTATAGGGAGATGGTAAGTGATTAAAGGTGTGAGAGGGGAGGTGTTCATTTCAAACACGCTTTACTAATTTTTGGCCAATAAAGAAATGTCTCTTACCGTAAATGATGAAAAAAATTAAAAATAAAAAAGAAACATCAATTCTTAAAATAGGATGTATGTGTGATTTTTCAAAAAGTATTTAAAGTCCCACCTTTTGACTAGAATTCACTTTGTTTTGTAAGCCATTCCCTTTATTAATATCACTATATAAAATATGGTGCTAATAACACCTGCTGAGAGCTTACAATATGTCAGGCCCTGTTCTATGGGTGCATGATACATATTAACTCACTGAATCTTTACAACAATTCTATAAAGGAGAGATTATTTTATCATCCCTTCCAATAGATGAAGAAGCTGAATTTTGCCCAAGGTCACTCGGGTTATAAGTGGTAGAGTCCAGATGTTACCCTAGACTCTTAACACTTAATGATGCCTCCCTTTAATAGAATTTTAACACAACTTATTAACTGTGGCTATGTTAACACCAGCTTCAGGCTATAATATGTTTAGTCATATAGTTAATCGATATAATAGGAATAGTTTTAACCTCCAACAAATGAGAGTAACAGATGTCTTCTATATTACCATGTAAATCAGACATGGATGTGGAAATAAATCATGGCAGTTGCCTGTCTGTCTAGATTAATGTGGGATTGAAAGTCATGTGATGCCACTTCCGCTCAGCAGTGGTGAACAGCCTGGAAGATCTGGATGTGGTGAAGACGATGGTGACTACACAGCTCTGCAATAAATATCCAGCTCGCACTGTGTCATCTTTCACCATAAAGTCTCTGCTGAGGTTTCCAATGGGGAGAACACTTAATCTTTTCTTTCTCTCATTATGAGCCTACGTTAACTCTCTTGGCTTTTCCACCCAGAATACATTCATTTCTTAATCGTACAGAAGTCTTTTAATAATGTAGTGTAGATTATAGCTGCCAAAATCTAGTAAACACATCATGGAAATCAGGTTATCTCTTCTAATTTCCACATACACCACCATTCACATATTCCCCTTAAGTCCTAAAGAGTTAATCAAGGTTGTTTTTAATTATCAAAAATCTTCACCATTTCTGATGAGAAGTTTATATATTTCTGATATGCATTCAGAGAACTGCATTCTTAAAATGTTCTTCTATGGGATTATAATAGCTGTGTCCGACTTACTGTCTTTTAACAGATTTTAAATTAAACTCTTGCAAACCTTGGCTAGAAGAAATTTTTGCAAGGCAGCTTAAAATGAACTAGAATCACAATTTATTGATCCTATATATAGACTAGAACATCATGAAGCTTATTAGATTGTTTTTGCCTCATAATAAGTTGTAGAATAATTATGTTCTTCCACTGTTGGAAGGTTGACCTTTTAGTTTGGAATCACTTAGCACTTGGGTAGTCTCTTTGTGAGATCTTAGCCTTTTCTCAGATATTATGCTCTTGTGGGATTGTTCTCTCTAAAGAGCTGTGTAACTTTAGGTGAGCCCCTTGACTCTCAGGGTTTTTATTTTCCCATTAATATAAGGAGGAGGCAAGAGTGACTTGCCTTTAAGTTCTCTTCTTGCTTTGATACTCTATGACTTAGGGGAGCCAGAGAGGTTTACATTGAGTTATGTAAATAGGACACTATATGCGTGGCATGCTAGCAACTCAGTCTCCAAAATATTGCACACTCACACACATATACGTTATTTTAACACAACTTAACACACACAATACACTTTTAAGTTTAATTTCCATTATTTTTCCCCTCATTTTCTCAAGCGTATGCAATGTAATTATAGAGCAACACTTTTCTGAGTTTTAAAACATAGTAATTTCATTGTCATTAAGTCCAAAACATTTCCTAATTTTCACTGCAATTTGTTATTTGACCTATGGGTTATTTAAAAGTCTGTTGCAGCCAGTGCCCGGCTAGCTCAGTCGGTAGAGCATGAGACTCTTAAAAGTCTGTTGCTTAATTTTCTTAAGTTTGGGAGTTTTCCAGTGTTGTTTCTGTTATTGATTTTTAGTTTAATTTCATTCTTGGTATAGGGCAATCCTTTGAAGTTTGTTGATTTTTTAAATGACTATAAAAGTAGTCATATGAAAGGGTGTACTGTGCAGTGGCTGCATGTAGTATTTATGTTATTTCAACTACGTGAGGTGGGTTTTCTCTATTTCTACTGAGTTTTTGTCTGTTTTGTTAGCTACTGAAATAAATACGTTAAAGTTTCCCACTTTCTGAATTTTTCTGCCAATTTTGCTATTTCTTAGCTTACTTCCTAATGCTTCCTATCTTAAAGAAATTATCTAATTTTTATATAAGTTATCTTATACCAGTACAGTAAGTTCTCACTTAACATCATTGAATGATTCTTGGAAACTGTGACTTTGAGCGAAACAACATATAGTGAAACCAATTTTACCACTGGCTAATTGATACAAACAAGAGCTGCATCTCTACAACATATTTCTGGCCAGAAAATTATCAGAGTTCTACATAAAGATCCCAAACACTTCTAATATCAAACACTAATATCAAATAAATGTGAGCTATACATACATTTAATAAAGATTAATAAAAACAAGATTGTTATTTACCCAATTTTTGGTGAATCCGTGAATGATGGCAGTGGTAGTGGTAATGGGTGAAATCAAGGAATAAATGTTTGCAAAGTGAAAATTGTAAAAAGCACCTCTAGCATCATGCAGTTCAAAAACTAACATCACAAATCTGCCAGTCTTCTTGAGCACTTTCATACCACATCATTTATTGTCATGCACTTATATGATCATCCTAAACTTTATAAATTTTTATTTGACAATCATTGTATGCATTCATTCATTCATTCATTCCCCAACCTGCTTATTCTAGTTCAGACCTGCAGCTGGCTAGAAGCCTATCCTGGAAGCCCAGGACACAGGCCAGAACTAGCCCTGTACCAGGTACCATCCCATTGCAGGGCACAATCACACACATGCCCACACTAACTCAGACAGCGACCATGTAGATAGGACAGTTCGCCAAATGTGCACATCTTTGGGATGTGGGCGGAAGCTGGAAAACCTGGAGAAAACTTATGTAAGTATGGGGAGAAAGTGCAAACTGCACACACACAGTGGCCCCTGTGGGAATTGATATTTTTCTCTCATCGATATTATAACGAAATGATGTTGAAATGAAATAACATTATTAGACGTCCTGCTATATAGCTATACTAGCTTTCTTTTTTGTATGTTTCATTTGTTCTTCTATTTAACTTCAACCTTTCAGTATCTTCATACATAAGGTATGTATCCAGTTTGACATTTGTTTTTTAGTTGGAATACTTAGTGCACTAAGACCTAGTATGATTAGTAATATATTTCCATTTAGATCTACAATCTTACTATTTTTTCTATATTTCCTACCTTCTTATTTATTTTTTCTCTCATTTCTTGTCTTAATTTAGATTAATCAGAATTTTATTTCTCTTTTCTTCTCTATTTCCTTGTTATATATTTTTATTTGTCTTTTAGACTTTAGGGAGTAAACAATTCTAATCAAAATTAATAGTTTTACCACTTACTGCTTCTATGATGCAACAATTAGTTTCATATTACAGTTGGGAAATCTAAGGCTCCAGGACTCAAATTTGAATTTAGCAATGTCTAACAACAATTCTGTGCTCTTTCCACCACTCTTGCCTAATCATTATACAGGAAACAGAAATCAATTCCCCAAATTAAGCCCAAATCTACTCAGTTCTATCAATTGAAGCAACAACAAATAAATCAAATCCTTTCTATATATGATGCCATCTTAATTGTTTGATGAAACTCTCACATCTCCCTCTGAGAATCCTCTTCTTCAGATTCAACATTCATAGATCATTTTGTTGTTCTGTATATGATTGGTTTCCAGCTTCTCTGCCATCCTAGAAGTGTACTTTTGGAAGCCCAACAAAATTTAGTCAATTTCATTTCTAAAATATAAATTTAGAATGACCCATACTTCACTGTGGTTGTCAATAAGCTAAAGGCAAATAGAATGCTCTCTGAGACAATGACAGTGATAAAAAAAGTAAAAAAAAGAGAAAAATTGATAATAAATAAATAATAATTTAAAAATTGATTAAAAAATACCAAATAATAGAGTGGCAAGATTTAATACATATTGTATGATTTAGGCACCACTTTTAGCAAGTGAATTCTCTATTTCTTCATTTTAGATCTCACAATAAAATCAAAAGTAGCTAAGGGAATTTTCAGATAATGCACAATTAAATATATATTAAGTATGTATACATAAAATAAAATGTACATTTGTTTTCCATTTACAAAAGAAAATTCATGACACCATTTACAGGTACAGATAAAGAAAGAGTCTCAAGAGAAACTAAAATATTTGCCATAGTCAGTAAGTCCTATAATTGAGAGTAGACAGGTTTTCTTCTGACTGCAAGTTCAACTTTTTTTCTGTTACTCTGGTCAAAGATTGGTTTTTGCAATAAGCAGGTAGGCTCTTACATATAAGCTTTTCCTCTAACTTTTTCTGACATCAGACTTCATGTGCTTCAAATCTTTCATTTCTTAATAGCCAGACTGCCT